GGACATCTCGTCAAGCGAGATTTTGCTGAGGCATTGATTGAACATGTCTGTCCAGACAGCAGCCCAGATGAGAAAAAGCGCATGCTTCAAGGAATCATGGGGCAGCAATGGAATCACTTGCAGCGCAGCAAGGCAAGCACTCACAGCGCAGACATTTTGAAAGCCTTTGGCAAGATGGATCCCGATGAGCAACGTGAATTTGCGGGACTGGCGCAAGTGGCGTTGGACGAGGGGCTGCTCAAAGAGCATCGTGAGTCGAGGGCCACAAGAACTGTTTCCACACCTACGAGTGGCAAACTACATGAGACGCCGCTTGCCATGAAGAATCTTCTTCCTTCTGATGCGCAAGGATGCCGAATTACGGGACATCCGGCGTTGAAGCGCTATCAGGGATTCTACACTGTCCCAAAGGGATTTGTCGATGAGAAAACGGGCATTCCTAGTAACTGGACTTTTGTTGACTTTTGATTTTATTTTTTTGGTGACTGGTAAGAAGTTGGGACCTAGTTGTGATCACTGTATCTAAATGGTAAGACTGAATTGGCGGCAACCCACACCAGTCCACAGTGAAGTCCAGACTGACTGACTCAGGTGAATCAGACCGAATGTACAGCCATGCTACGTATTGGCATGGGAAAAAGAAGATGATGTCAGAGATTGAAGCGTGTTCGGAAGTGGTCCTTTGGGTCTGGAGGGTTCACGAGCAAGTTCACCCTACGTCGCGTGAGGTAATGTGCTTTTGATTTTATTAACTATGCTATAAGTTTTTGTGGCACCGCTTTTGTGTTGCCTTATTTGTTTGACATCGAATCAGTGTGACGACTCGTCACCTTTGACAAATCCAAGGCCTACAGACGAGTCAATCAAAGCAGTGCTGGCCGCATTCAACGAACGGACTGGTTTCAAGTGCTCGCAAGATTCCGCCACAGTGGATCAACCCGTGGATACTCCCATGGATGATGCAACAGCGTCGGCTTCATCTAAGTCTTTGTCAAAGACAAAGAAACCACCATCGCCACTGAAGGTTTCAAAGAAACCAAAGGTGAAGGCAAAGGGCAAAGCAAAAGATGCTAAGCCCAAGTGAGTGATCACTCGCAATGCGAAAGAAATGATAACGCGCAGTCAGTTTATTATTTGGATCGTCAGTTCGTGAGCGGGTCGTTGGTCGAACCCAGGGGTGATCGGTCGAAGCAACGACTGTTTCGCGTCAGTTCGTGTTCCGACCCCAGGGATTCACTTCTTGGGGACCCACTTCAATTTATGTTTATTTGAAGATATACCACCATCATAAGACTATGATGAAGTGGGTCCCCCTGAAGTGGGTCCCCCCACCTCCCCATGATGGCAGACCTGGTAGAGGATATTCTGGATCATCTGGTTCGTCAGGTGGGTCACCTCGTGGGCCGCCTGGCGGATCGCCTGGTGGGTCACCTGATGGATCACCTGGTCCTCCACGTCGTCGCCTTCGCCTCCTCCGGGAAGCCGTCGAGGAAGCTCCTGATGGGGACGTGGTCGGACCTGGTGGGTCACTTGGATGAACACTTGGATCATGTGTCGGTGCCTCACTTTCAGCTGCCTCCTTGTTGGAGGACTCCCAAAACCCGTCGGGGTCTTCTTGAGGTGCTCTATGAGGGTAACCATGGACTTGGGGAGGTTGCCATCCGGACCGGCTAGGTTGTAGCGGCTGCCCAAAACCAAAAGGTACGTGGGGTTGTCCAGGTCCGTGGTCATGAGATCGGCGACAAGGTCCATAAAGGGGTCGACCAGGCTGCGACGCCATGATCCTTGGCATAGTCCATGATGTAGTGGTGCTCATACCTGGTGCTGCTAGTGGATTGGACTCAGAACTCAAAAGGCCACTGGGAACAAAGAACCATGCTCCGTCCACACCAGGGCCGAATGGCCGCGAAGAGAACTGGCTCGATCCGCAGTTGGGGCATCTCCACTCCAGGATGTCTTCATCCCACACGTAGTCGCCCGAGCCACAGGCCAGGCAAGCCCAGAACTCATCGGGCTCGAGGCGGGCATCGGAATCCAGGCTGGTCGCCCGGCTCGTCGGGAGAGAACCATCTAAAGTGGGGCGCCACCCAGCGCCAGCAGCGCCACCATCCAGCGGCGAGCGATCAGCCGGATCGTCATCCGGGTCGTCTCCAGCAGCGGTCGGCGTCAGCGGCATGGCGTGGAAGGACAGGGCAAACGGTCGCCAAACAGGCTCCGCTGCCAACTAGGCAGCACGTGTGCGTGAGGACGCGCAGCCTTTTCGAAGGCAAATTTGGGCCGAAGGTGCACCTTGTCGTGCGGGGTCGTGTCAAAAGGCTGGTGTGAGACCTTCAGGAACCTTGTATGCTGAAAGGACTGTGCAGTTTCAAACTCTCATTAAGTACCTTTGTCTTGACCCTCTATGAGCTTCAATGAAACACAATGAAACTGCGTGCCGCCACGGCACACAACGCCGAAAACGCTGCGCGCCCACGACCTCGCGCCCTCGTTCGACCTCGGCCCCGCGCCTGCGAAGGCCACGTAGGGATCCGCCCGCTTCACGCCGCCGTCCGCCCGCGCGCAGAGCGGACCCTGCTCGGACGCCCGCTGCGCGGCGGAGATCGCCTCCGAGAACTCGCCGCTCCTGGGCAGGGTAGGGCAGGTAGGGGGGTCGAGGTTCGGAAGAGTCCGAAGGCACCCCGACAGAAAGCAGCAATCCTGGCAGGTCCGATGAAGGAGTCAGGAAGACCAAGCAGGGAAGCCGCTTCAGGTGAGAGACGCTTGAGAAAAATAAGGCAACGACGCCAGCATAGACCCCAAATAGCACAAGATGTGGGCATCACCACAGCAGCGGCACGAGCATGCAGGCTCGAAACCACACGCAGCTGCACCCTGCAGCCACACCCTGCAGCGCCCTCCAGCACCGGCACGCAGGCCGTCACACGTACACACTAGACATCTCGCAGCAGCACCCTGGAGCGTCCAAAGCGCACACCGCCACACATCTGGCAGCGGCACCCTGCAGCAGCACGAGCACCCAGGCTCCAAAGCGCCCACAGGCACCTCTTCCTATAGCTGAAGTAAGGACAAACAAACTAACAAGCAAGCCAACAAACATTGCCACTCTGATGGTGCAACGCGTCGATCCACCTCTCCTCAGCTTGTCGGTCAAGGTCTCCAGTGCATCGCAATCACGGACCGAGCCTTCTAGCTCCCGCTCGCGTGGCATGGCGCTCCGCGGCGGGCTCAGAACGAGGAACGAAGGGAGACACGGGACTGGGTACTTGGGAGGTGAGTACTGGAATGCTCCTCTGAAAATTGAATGCTCCAAACATGTGACTGTGCTCAAATGTTTGGAACAGGGTTCCAAGCCAGATTCTCATATTGACTCCGGCTACCTTAGTACATCGACTCATCTTTGCTAGTGTCAAGACACCTCATCTACCCGCGAAGCTTGGGGCAAAGATCTGAGATCTGTGCGACAGGGCCAAATCAACAAGCAGCTGGAGGATGCACGTCCGCATGGATCTCCGGCTGCTCAGCTACACATCTCCCGGTGCTGGACGTGCGCACGAAGCGATCTGAGGACCGAGCCCTGTGGCCGCCGGAGGGGCCGGAGGTTGCTTGGCCACCTGTCGCCCCAGAACTCGGGGCTTCACGAAGGAAGTTGAAGCCGTACTTCTTGGGGCTCGTGAAGAATGTGTGTGTGTGTGTGTGTGACTATGTTGGCATGATTCTCCCACTTTGATGTGGCTCCCTCCGGACTCCGCACCTCCTCAGCTGTGCCATTCTGGTGCAGGGCAGGCTCTTCCTGGGCAGGCTCCCTTGCAGGCTTGGACACAGCTGGTGCAGCTGGCGCAGCTTCTGGATCTGAATTCTGCGGTACCTCAGGTGGTCAGGCCGTGAGGCAAACGTTGTCAAAAAGTGACATGCAACATCGCGTAAGCTAAAGCACTGTCTGACTTCCCGGTCTTCTTTGCCAAGTCAGTGCTTCTGTTTTGAGATCGGGGTCAGAGATGCCAATCTTTGGCTCGAAGAAACACCTGGAATCACCCCTTCATGACATACCCTCGCCTCAGCGGTCGGACCTCCTCCGTCGGTCCTGGGCAGGGATTGGCCCGGAAAGACCCCAAGAAAGTGGAGGAAAATCCTTCAGACTGCAGGCTGCATCAAGAAAACAGCTCAATTCTGAGTCTATCCTACAAATGACTTCTTCCATCAGTCACTCAGATTCTTCATCGTTCTGCCGAGCAGCTGCATGGCCTTACCGCGACCACCTGGCACAAAAGAGAGAACTGGTGGAATGAAAAACGTGAGCTTAGTACATGTGCCACTTAGTCCATCATGGCAACTTCCAGTTCAGAACTGGTGGAGATCTTTCTAACCTCACGGTCTCCAAACGATTTTCACTGGCCCACCCGTACGAGGTGCAAGACTAGGGATGTCCTGAGACACTTGGTGGCCATTTTGGGTCACTGTTTCAAGGAGATCTCGGAATTCCAAAAAGGAGATCTGGAAGGTCTTCAGGTCTTCAGGTCTTCAGCGTGTGTCTTTGGGAAACGACCGCGCCCGAAGACCGCCGAGACCTGAAGACTGCAACGACCGCCCTGACTTCCAAGCCTGGTCTGACTGAAGGAAGTGAGGCAAGCGAAGGAGAAAATCACACACAAAACAATAAAAACAAAGAACGCAAAGCCAACAACAGGTTCTTCTCATGAATTCACTAGGCTTTGTGGTTAGTGTAGGCTCTTTGGTCACTTGAGGCTCTTTGCTCTGACCCTTTGCTGATGCTTTTGTCTGTTGTTGGGCTGAAGTGAAAGTTGGCAATGACACTGCCTGTTCGAGCCGGTTCGCCGCAAAATCTGGAGCTCCCTGCGACTGCTCGTGACATGCAACAGCACAGACTTGGTTTGTTTCACCGCCCGGTCGTGAACGAGAAAAACTTCCCTCCCTTTGGGGAGATAGCAGCGCCTATATAGGTCTGCAGGTCGGCGATCTCAGATCGATGCGGACGATCATTTTTGGTCGCCTTTCCTCTGTGGTGAACGGCTTTGCAGCTTCGCTGCGCGCTTCTTTTGGGCGCAGCCTTACCTTCAACCAGGACCCTGGGCATGGAGTCGGCGCCTCCCTCTTGGGGCAACCTGCCCAGCTGGTGACCAGCTCTCGGCATGTCTATCCCCCTAACCGCGTCGCGCCGGATCCTCCGAGTCAGGGTCCAAAGGATTAACTCTGTGTGGCAGCCGCTGACTGAAAATCGGCGAAGTCCAAGTCCTCTGCAGGGACCTCGAAGCCGAGGCGGAAGAAGGAGGCGCCTCATGGAGGGCCCCCGCCAAAAAGAAGAACCCCAAAACTCCGAAACCGGTGGGGACGCTACAGGAATCTACAGTATATACTTTTGACATCTTTTGACCTAACATTGGTCAAAAGGAATCGTTTTGAAACTGTTTGGGGTCTATGCTGGTAATTGCTGGTATAATTTTGCATGGGATTATATGGGATTATATGGGTCGTTTCTGCAGTTGCATCCCATAAACCCATTTCCAACATCTGCACCCCCTCGCTGCTGGCTCTGTGGCACCCACGGCCGCTGGGACCTTCAGCGGCGCAGTGTCGCTGGACGCCGCCTGACGCCAAACGATCTCCAAACTCCCACGGAGTTCGCCCGACCAAAGGGTCTATATATATATATATATACTCAATCCCTCTTCACCACCTCGTTGGGGCTGATGGACGGAGGCGCCTCAGCGGCGAGGGTGTGAGGCATGGCGGCAGGGAGGCCCTGTTGGAGGAGGTGCATCCTCGCAGAATTGGTGTGAGACTCTCTGACCATCTGAGTTTCAAAAATATGATGACATCACTCGAGTCGAATCAAACCTACCAGGTCACCAGGTAGGAAGGAAGCCTTGATTATCGAAAGCTCTCCTTCGGGGCATGCTCACATGACACCCCGGGCTGCAGCCCACACGACATTCATAAAACAAGAGCAGCTTCTATTCGCCAACTCGCCATTCACTTCACAGCACGTTTGAACTCCAAGATCAGCCATCATCAGCCGTTCGTGCACTCCCATGTGCATCAAAAAGGCAGATGGAAGGAACACAGGCAAGGCAGCAAAACCCACCAACGAACCACACGAACCCCGTGCTTCCACCCATCCCCTACTCCTCTTGCGGCCCCCTCGCCTGGACAGAGGTACTGGTGGCTGGCGGCGGTGCCTGGGCCCAACACCACTGCAACCCATCGCGGTGTAAGATGGTCACTGTGTTTTTTTTTGGTGTCGTTCCCGACGCGGAGGCGGCCGGGGGCGGCGCGAAAACCCAAAAATTCGAAAAGTTGAAGTGTTTCTTGTGTGCAGGTGGGCCGGGACAAAGCGAAAACGCGAAAATTCGACAAATGTTTTGCGGCCGTCAGTTCGCAAGTGACGCGCGAAAAGGCGAAAACGCGAAAAGTCGAAAAGTGCGAAAAGTGTTTCCGGGACGCCAGACACGCGAAAGGGCGAAAACGCGAAAAATCAAAAAGTGCGAAAATTGTTTCCGGGACGCCAGACGCGCGAAAAGGCGAAAACTCGAAAATTCGAAAAATGCGAAAAGTGTTTCCTGCTCAGCGATCCGCAAGACCACGTTGCTGGGCACGAGCGCAATCTGTACACTATACAGGCTGATACCCTCTCGGTGGGCCCGGCCTTTGATCGACGTGGAGCCTTTCCCCCATAATCAGTTGGAAAAGTTGTGGGAGAGGTCAGGGTGCATATCTGAGGAGCTACATAGCAATCAGCACTGCTTAGTCTGGTTACGCCCTAGGCCTCCTGACTTACGTCCTCAAAGGGTAGTTACGTTTTCGGGGTACTTAAGGGATATAAGCATGAAAATGTCCAGCGGGTCTTCACGTGGACAACAAAGACGGAGTTGACCTGTCAAAAGCCCAGCCCGGAGCGGGTCCCAGACTTCGTTGGCAAAGCTAGGCTTCTCAATGGAACGTGGACCGTTTCAAGGCCTTCACTTGCAAAGGAAAGAGACATTCAAGGGTCAGAGCTCCAGAATGGGGCACCGGCAGCCAAACCGAAACACAGATTGAAACCTAGGTTCGTGGGTCTTCTTTTGTGAGGCACACCAAAGTACGAGTAACTGAACTCATTTGCTTCCCTGGCGCACGGCTGGACGTATATTCAACCAGCGAATCCGATTGGACCATTGCGTGAAGTACCTCCTTCCTCTGCTCCCATAAGCCCAGGCTGCGCAATCAAATCAGCGGGCCCGTGCAATGCAGCAGTCGGCAAACCACCGGCAGTTTTCGAGCAAATTCATTTCTGGAGGTTTCGAAGAGCTCCAAATGTAAACGCATTGATAGAACACTGACTGGAACCTACAGAGTTCCCTTGGGGAGAGCATATACGGCCACCAGTCCAGCCGCATTTGATCGACTTGAACTCTTTCTTCCCTAAGGTGTTTAGCCATCGGTGGAAAGGTTCTGGGAGAGGTCAGGACGTCTAGCTGACAAGCTACAAACTGAGCATCAATCAGGGATATAAACATGAAACTTTGGACTTATCTTCCCGTAAGGCAAGCCAGGAGCGGATCCCAGATGCTTTGGCAAAGCTAGGCTTCTCAAGCGAACGTGGACCGTTTCAAGGCCCTCACCTGCGCAGGGCACCATTCAACGCCCCGAAAAAGAATCGAAACCTGCAAGGTCCAGGTTTCAGGGTCCTTTTTTTTCTGTGCCACATTTAGAGTAAAGTAGCGGTGACTGAACTGATTTGTTTTTCCGAAGTAGCGGTGACATAATTACCTCTTTCCATTCCAGACGAGCCCGGAAAATAGGACATCCTTTGTTCTTTCTCAAGGTGAAGCCCGTCAATCCTCGACATGAAGCAAGGCAGGGAAACGCGCCCTCAATTGACATCTGTCTCACGCTCGTATCAAATTCTTCGAGCTATCTTTTTAATGTTCACCACATCTGTCTACCCTTCCAGAAACATACCCACCCCATCTCCTCACCTGGTGCGTCCGTAGCATCAACCTCCACTGCCACATGGTTTGGAGTGGCATAAATTGATACACTTGTTTTGTATTCTGGCACGATCTGCAAAGGTTGTCCGTCTTTTTAAGAGAAGTCTTTTTTCACACCTAATGGCATACGAAGCCGTTTCTACGCTCACTGGGTTCTGAAACTGTCTCAATACTTTTGAAGCATGTGATCCAAACCGGAAAGAATAATTTCAAGGACCGAGGGTACATGAACTTTGGTTTCGTGAGCAGAACCATGGTCCAACTGTACAGAAGCCCAAGTGCCCAAACCTGCCTCGTGCGCGCACGAAAGATTGAAAAGCGGAATGCCCCAGCAAGCTTCGAGATTCTTCATTAGATTCAGAAAAAAAAGGTTCTACTTTGTCTGATTTGCATACAATCGGCTTCTGGTGAGGACTGAGCCGCGAGCAATGTGGCCAATCTAGATCTTGAGAAACTGACCGCCTTCTGGCGGAGTGGTCCGATTCAGGGAAGATGCTGGTCGCTGAGTGATTTTACTGGCACCTGAAGCCCGTTAGCTTCACCGCCATCGGGGGTCCGGAGGTGGAGGTGAGACATCAGGTGTGATTACATGCATTCGTGCTTTTTGTTGCACGGTCTGCCGATGG